ATGTATGATTAAAAAGTATTTAGTAAATAAAAAATTTCTTCGGGTTACACGGGGGCGGGGCGGGGCCCGTCGCAAAAATGACGAGTCGGGCGGGCCGGTCCAAGAAGCTGCCTGTGCGGGGTACGGGCGGAGCGGGTATGGATTTTTCGGGGCACAGGCGGGGCGGGGATTTTCATAAAACTTATACACGGGGTTCGGGCGGGACGGGTTTGTGAATTTCACGGGGCGGGCCCCGCGGGGCTTGAAAAATCGATGCCCCGTGCATCTCTGGTTGGTAGCTATATTTTTCAAATATTCCTTAGAAAATGCGATTCATTTTCAAGAATGATAAATCAAACAACTTCAAATTTATTTGATTATTGAAATTCCGTTCAATTTTTTTTGTAAAAGCTCATCAGAATAGCTAAGAATGGCACCAGAGCTTTAAACAAAGCTTTTTCATGAGTCAATCATCCTCATTGTCTCTATTTCTTGTTTTTAGATTTAATTAATCTCAATAAATATTTGATGTATAAACATAGCTCGTTCAATCATATTTATCTGATAAGTGCTACTAAAATGTTATATACACTGTTTATTCTATTAGTTAAATATTTGTCTTGAGATAATTTACAATCAGAGAACTCATTGCTAATTAGAGAAAATTAACATAAAATCTCTAAATCCGAAAGTCTCAAACTTTCTGTACCATATATTTGACGTTAATGTTCACTTTCTTATGCTAAAGAAATGATCTAATACATATGCAGATACGTATTGAAAAACGTTAGATATCATACGAATGCAATTCTTTGAACTTTATTCAACTCTTTAAATATAAAAATTGATGCAGCTGAACATTTACATTTATCAAATCAGAGATAATGGAAGACAGCATCTAGCTGATTAGGTAAAAGTCAGTCAAATGGACTAGAATTTTAGTTGTTATCTCAAATATAGATCATTATATTCTTTTACGTACGATAGCATAAAGTTTTTCATAGTCAACAATTAAATCCAAACATTTATCAGAACAATACTTGAAGACAATTTGTTAAGATTTTATTTTGTGAACATTGAAAATATTATATGAGTATACGATTTCTTCTAAAAAAATCTATACATTATATCAATTTTCATCTTCTTGAACAGTTATTTTTATACTTCGATGATTATCTTTTAATATAATCAATGACATTTTTAATAAAAATGACTGAATGGATTTAAAAAAATTTGATAAATTTTCAATTTAAACAGATTTTAGTCAAATACTGTTAGGACTAAGACTGAATTGCTTTGGGAAAAAAACTGTTAAAAACTCATTTACATGTTTGAAATTTCTTATAAAAAATTTATTAAGACTTCCATCGAAGTATATTTTAAAAAATTTACCAGTCACATATCTTATCATAATACGTATTATATCTGTTTTAGCTTTCTGTCTAATGTACTACCTAAGAAAGAGAAGACATCATTCAAACAATCAACATTTTATGAAACAAGAGCTATAACAATTGTTCAAGTATATACGGTAGATGTATTTCACTTACTCTCGCACCTCGTACAAACTGTTACAGAGAAATCCTGAGACCATGATAGACTATGACAGAGGAGCTGTAGTTTTAAAATTAATAAGAATAGGTCATTGGTGTTTCACATTTATAATCTGACAAGGGATTTTACAAACAGTCTTTTTATTTATCAATATTCAATTGTTTTCTACAAGACTTAATAATTTCTCCTTTTTCATAAGGACCAACTGAATTTTTTCTATCATTCATTAAAACATATTTGCAAGTCAGTTTCGCCATATTTCAGTCATGATTCATATTGAAAACATTGTATAGATAAGAATAATCTCATATCTCAAAATACTTTTTCTTTCCTTTTTTCTTGAAAATAATCTAGAAGGTCTTTGAAAATCTAAAAGTAAATTTGATTTATTTCATTCAATAGAATGCATCGATATCAATTTAACAATTGTTTGGGATAGATGAGATCCCTAATATTTTTAAAACAGCTTCGCAAGTTTTCTCTTTCACGCTAACGAGGAAATGTTCTCAAGTGATTATCACCGTTTCAGCTCATATTGTCTCCACAAGAAGATTTCATTGAGACTACTCTGAAAAAAATAAAGGAGGTTTGCAGAACCCTCCAAAAAGGTTCTGCAGATTTCTAAAATGCTCAAAATGTGTCCAAAGTCTCAAAAAAAGAATAAAAAATTCGACAGAACCTTTTGAAGGTTCTGCGTTTTATCCAACCGCAGAACCATCTCTCACAGAACCTTTTTTTAGGTTATGTACAGCAAAAAAAGGTTCCGTGAAAAAATACGAACCCTAAGGATTCTGTACAAAACCATTAGGGTTTCGTACTGAACCCTGAAGGTTTTGTACAGAACCCTTATGGTTTCGTATTTTCTCACGGAACCTATTTTTGCTGTACAGAACCTGAAAAAAGGTTCTGTAAGAGATGGTTCTGCGGTTGGATAAAACGCAGAACCTTCAAAAGGTTCTGTCGAACTTTTTATCCTTCTTTTGACACTTTGGACACATTTTGAGCATTTTAGAAATCTGCAGAACCTTTTTGTAGGGTTCTGCAAACCTCCTTTATTTTTTTCAGAGTAGAGAAAGTCTGAACGAATTTGTGTCCATGCGGTTTTGGAATCGAATTAAGTCTGATTTATTGAACTTTTGACCTCTTTAAGGCATTGATTGAAAAATGAAATAATGAAGTTTGCATTTGAAACTTCTTCCATAGATAGATGTACTTATATCTAAAATATCATGAAAGTTTCAGCCGAATAGCGTGTTCTTGCAGCGAGTTATTGAATTTGTTAACTACATCTAACTTTTGTGAAATATCCGTAGGAAATGACTATTTTTAGGAAATTTGATAACTTGAAACAGGAAGGTTAGAAGCTACATCTATCTATGGTAGAAATTTCAGATAGAAACTTCGTTGTTTCACTTTTTGGTCAATATCTAAGACAGGGCCGAAAATTCAATAGATCAGACCTAAATGAGCTCCAAAGACGCATGGGTACGAACTCCTTTTAGGTATTCTCTATTCTGACTGAGATCTACTTGTGGACACAATATGAGCTGAAACGATGATAGTCACTTGGGAGTGTTCCCTCCCAAGTAGTACTTTGTCAAGTAACCTGCTGGAAAATGCACAGTAATTGGGTACTTGAAGGTAGTGATCAGGTACTCAATAGTGTAGTATTGTATGGCATTTCTAAGTACTCTGTTACTAAAGTCTTTTTTAATACTCTATCCAATTTAACTTTGTCAATGCCAAAAACTTGGTGGGTACAATGTCAGGACCCAGCAAAATTTGAATTGTTCGTAGACCACTTCAGAGCAGTTCGATCTTAATCTATGACCAAGATCGGCATTTCTTCCACTAGGAAGCAGTCAAGAAATAACGAAGAAAAAAATTGTACGACAGTTGATTATTTCCTTCCAATTTATAAAGTTGTATATATGGAGCTGCACTTAAAGAAGAAAACGGTGAATGAATAATCATCGCACAGAACGTGACAAATTTAGGATATCCTATCGAGCTTTCCTCAGTAAAGTTACTGATCTGGGTATCCATACAAAATATTTATTTGATAAATGTATTTTTATAGGTACCGTTAACAGTACCTACATCAGCATAATTACTGAGAGTTTTCGAAGTGCCCATGATAGGAACTCTGATAAAGCTTCCTCAGTTTAATGTGTACCCTAAATTCAGTACTTTCTCTAGAGATCACACATCATCAAATTGTTAAAATTACATGAGAAAGAAAGAAGAGAATTGTATGACACAGATAAAGGTAAATATTCACCGAAAATGATATCAATATTATTGATAGGAAACAAATATTGGAAAGGATTCTTAGTATTAACGAGAAAAGTGGTGAATAATTACTGTTTGGTAAATGAATAATACCTCAAGATCTAATATAGAAAAAGAAACACTCATATCAATTAATAAGTCGTTTTTTAAGATATCATATATGAGACGCTTTTGTTTTAGCAAATTAAACAAATATAAAAAGGCTCAGGTCTCAAATTTAGGTTATTATCGAATATCAATTACCAAATAGTGAGAGTTATCTAGAAGTGGTGTCATTATGATCGTTTTTTCTCGACATGAGCAAAAGAAATTTTCTGTTTTTGTCAAAAGATAGAGTGTATACTATTTAATCAATATTAAACTAAAATCATCATAATAAAATTTTGATAAAAACTGTTTTTGTTGAAAACTAACAATTGTCCATTTCAGAATTAAATGGCCGTGAGCATTTTTTGAATAACTTTTGATAGAAACGAGATAGAGATCTATGGTTCTCATCGTTGGAAAGAACAGATGAAGACGCATCGAATTATAAATATAAAGATTTTTCTAGTAGCTTTTCTAAAGATTTAGACAAAAATTTTCAAAGAATTGCTTTTTTCCTACCTTAAAAAGGTCACTTTACTATGAAAATACTACAAAAATTTACATATTTTTATTATTTTGTTGAAAAAAATGAGATGATTAATTGTGTTCCGATGGTTTGTATATCACACTTTTATTAGTTAGAAGCACGATGTTTCTATAGTTTTGTAGCCCTTCTTTGGGCAATTCTAGCGTACTCCTGAAAATGAATAAATTAATATCATGATCATAAGAAGCAACCTGTTTTTCTTGACATTCTATGTAAAGCCTATAGGAAAGCAGCTAGAAAATTCTTTCTATATATAATTCGATGCATCTTCGTCTGCTCTTTCGAACGATGAAGACCATCGATCTCTATCTCATTCCTATCAAAAGTTATTCAAAAAATGCACACGGCCATTTAATTCTGAAATGGACAATAGTTAATGTGTATTTTACAAAAACAAAAAATATTTGTTAAACATTAATCTCCTATGTAGTTTGGTCGGAGTCATGATTTTTTTAAAATAAACAGTCAGTTTCAGGAAATCCAAGCATGAATAGAACTTATATGGCTTCAAAAGTAAACATAAGTATTGGTAGATTAAAATTCAGGTTTTACCTTGAGGTTGAGCCATAGAAAAGCCGGTGCTACCAAAAGGTCTTGCCAATAATTCAGGCGTAAGTGTTTTTGACAGTTGTCCTTTTGTTAGTGATCTAATAGGAAATACTAATGATTACATTAGATATACTAAAGTCAAATACAGACGTTTGTCTCATAGTAGCAGATGTTGAGAGTTGGGGAGGCGCTGCTTCTGCTGGCATACATTCTTGTAATGGTGGTGGTGGTGGTGGTGGTGGAGCAGGCACAAATTCTATAAAAAGAATATTATGAAATAAATATAATCGCATTAGTGATCTTCTCTATATTCTTACTCTCTTTCATTTTCATGGGAGCTTGTTCATCAGGACCTGAAATAATTTTTATTGTAGCCAATATATAATTCATTAAAAGAAACTTACGTGTATCAGTAAATCGTACATAAGACAAATCACTACTCCCAACACTATCCTTGCTTTGTAACTCATCTGTATGTGACACTGATGACTGTCCTTCCATTAAATTTTTTGTTGATGTCAATATTGATTGATGTTTGTCCGCTAAAAATTAATTCATAGTCACAGCAGTACAAAATTAGACACTTTTTTTCACTAAAGACAACTACTACACGTCATAAAGAAAAAAGAATTACATCAAATAGACATTATTTATGTATATAACACTATTCTTCATATGTTGCATTTAGCAAAAAGAAACCGATAAGACATGAGATCAAGTCACAAATATGAACTACAAAATTAATATGATGAATAATCTTTTTTTTTGTCGAAATATGTTAGACCTGAATAAATGATATAGAATTATTAAAAATATAGTGTTTGATAGTCGAACCGAAAAGAAGTTCAATAATTTTTTATGTAAGATATTTGAGTAGACTTTATTTTAAAGATCAATTTATATCATTCAAATTGAGTACAATGATTTTTCTCGGAATCATTGTTGTTGCATTAACATGATTTATTGTCAAAGGAAACTATGACAGGATCTTGTTATAATAGAAGTTGTATTACTTACGAGAACGTGACGAGGGGGACTCATTCATATCGAATGAAAGGCACCAAGGCATAACATTGACTGATGAGTTCAACTCTATTGATTCCGATTCTTCTTGCAGTGAACTACGTTCGTCTTCATCCGCGGATCCTAAAAGGAAAAGTTGCATTCCAAATATGACACAAATAAATAATTTTTTATAGATTTTCGATTCCTCAGTGAGGTTCACTCATCGACGAAAAGATTATATATTGAAATAGATAATCGATCATTGATTAATTTTGTAGACCCTCATTGTGGATACAAATAACTTCTTCATAAATCTCTTATAATGTTAATAATATATTTCGTAGCAAGTTATTACTAATATATGATCTGTATTCATATATCAGTAACGTTTGTCACGATTTTGACCAAGTCATACTAGTTTTTATTTTCAATTTCCTGTTAAATCTTGTTTGATAAAATATCAATAGCATATTAGATACTAGTATAAAAAGTACTTTAGTTGATGTATGCTTACCAAATAAGTTGAAGCCCATATCCTCCTCCTCGTCAACGGATTCTATTGTTGGACCTTTAGCAGCTTTAGCCCTTATTTCTAAAAGAAAAATATAGAATATCGAAACTAATAGTTGAACATGAAAATGGGATAAGAATATTTGTTGCTCTATAACAGAATTCAAGTTTCTTATTTCTAAACATCAAAATATCTCTTCTAGTTGCTCCACGAAATCAATATATTGAGATTCAATTATTGTCATTAAATATTATATAGTAATGTACTCTCTAGATTGATTTTTTTAAAAAGCAACATTAAAATATATTTATATGGATGTGAACCTAAATGATTAGCTCAATATATATTTTGTGTTGTTTAATATTCATGAGATGTAATAAAAGAAGAATGATGTTAAATGTCTACTAAATATATATATATCAATGTCCTTTTCTTTTAGATCATATCTCATATCAAATGCATAACTTACGAGTGTTTAAGCAAAGAGACTGTGGCATGTCATCGAAGTAGTCAGAACCCGTACCGTCTCCTTCTTCGTCTTCTACGTCGTCGTCAGATACCAGTGGTGAGCTATCTTCATTCATTTTGTTTAGTATCATGTTCTCTTAATGAAAAATATACAGTAATTAATTTGGACGTTAAATTAATTATAACATATATATGGACGTGGGCAACCGATATGGTATCCCATTTTGATTCAGTCCTATAGTAAGGAGAAAACATACTATTGTCTGGGTTATATGAGAAAGGATTCTAGATAACCTTGGCATGACCTGAACAACACCATATTTTATCGTTAGAATAATCGAGAAAAGCTATCAGCTAACACTATAAGCTTCTAGCTTTACATCTTTATTCTAACGGTAAATTATGGTGTTGTTCAAGCCAAACCAAGATTATCTTGAATCCTTTCTCATATGACCCGGATACTAGCATATTTTATCCTCACTATAGGACTGAGTCAAAATGGGATACCATGTCGGTTGCTCATGTCCTTATGTATTGAAAAGTAAAACTTGTCAAAATTGTTTGTATCTCTACTACGAAATCAAACTCTTATTTTAAAATTAAATTTGTTCATATACATATATATCTATGAAAGAAATGTAAATAATAAGATTTAATCATATATATTAATGTGACAAAAGACTAATACTTTAGAAAAAAAATGCAAAATATTACTTTGAATTCATAAATAATAAAATAGAACTAACGAGATTGAATAAATATTGACTATTAAGCAGTTTAAGGTATTTTTTAAACATAAATATTAGAAAAAGCTATAATGTTTTTGAAAATCATATTTTAATTTAAGTTTATCTTGACTTTTTGAACTGAACTCAATGAGATAAGTAAAATTTTAACATACTTTTGAAGAATACGTCAGAAAATCCATTAAACGAATAAATTTTATCATTGTTTTTTTTTCTTTTTAAATAGAAAGTTAATTCTAGAGCAGGCATATGATAAAATAAATTAAATATACTCTCATAGGTGATTTTTAGTCGAAATAAGTTCATACTCAATGATTAATAGATCCTTTTGTTTAATATTAAAAGTGTTGCTTCATCTATATACTGATTCAAAATATGAAATCTTAAAATTAAAATTGAATATTGTATCTCTCTATTTGCTTTTTAATGAAATTTCTTATATACTAATATATACGAAAGTTTCAAGATTAGTGCTCTGTTTGTTAGTTAATTGACTTGGCAGTAGATCAAGTATCTATACTAACCATTTATTGAATCATCAAAATCGACTAATGATTCACTACAATAAAAAAAAATAACATGAAATTTTATTATGATTATTATTAATATCTCTATTGTCTTTTACATACTCTTCATCACTGGCGATGATGACATCATTAGCTAGGCATCGTTGTTGTAGTGCTTGTCGTTCTTCCGATGTTGCACTGACCATTTCATTTTTAAGATCTATTTAACTTTCAGAATTAACATTTATGAATATTTGCCTATGATTGTATAACATACCGCTTCGCATTTTATTTTCGATTTCATTTGCTTTTTCATAATCATTCAATGCATAACGATACGTACGTATAATAGTCATCATCAAATTAAATTTTGCATCACTACCTGCTCGATAAGAAATCTTATCACAAAGTTTTTCCATATCAACTATAGATTCTTTTTTGCTTTGAATTGATGCACATTCAAGTGAAATACGTGCATCAATTAATTTTTGTTTGATTATATCTAAATTTGAAATATCGCCATCCCATCCTATGTATGGTAATAAGTCAACATCTCGATCACGCATAACATCAGGAAGTCGAACACCTATAACAGAGAGTACATAATAGTTCATGATTTCTTAACAGAAAAGAAGAATAACATGAAGTAATGTATCTTTAAATAGACAGAATACAGTAATCATATTAAGATTACCAATAGCAATTAACTTCATTCAATTAAACATTCTACTAACCTGTTTGAAAAGTTTTTTCATCAGTTTTAGCATCTCGTTCTTCGATAGCAACAAAACTA